TTCGCGAACACCTTTCCATCAAATTACAGACAAAAAATCCGGAAATATCGAGAAAGGATCATTGAAAATAACTAGAAAACCTACACAGGTCTAAAAATTGTTGCAAAAAATCGAATTGCTGTCGAAAAATTGCAAAAAACCGCAACTTTTTCAGAGTTTTCAGTTTTGGCGGGAACATTCCAGAAGTCTTAGCATTCCAGAAGTCTAGAACAACTACCGTAACCTAAGCCAATTGTTTTCTTTCTCTATATGAATCTAGATATTTTTGCTACACATTCAGGACCTGCTCTGAATTTATGCTACTCACTTCTCTCCCCTTATCGTTCAGAACATCATTGAACTGTCGTTCGTGTATACGTGGCAATTGCTCACTCGACTCTCGCACACTTGCTATTAGTTTCATCGGATCGATTCTGTATTGTCGCGAACCGAGAGATGGACGCATTTCCAGATAGTTGTCTTCATCCTTCCCTTCTCCCGAGTACTTTTCTTTGTGCTCAAGACAAATTTTACCGTACTCTTTGTCGGCACGAGTCCTCGGTTCCAGCAGAGTTTTTGTAACCCCGATTCCTGCCATCTTTTTGAAACTATCGATCGAGCGTGACGGATGGCTGCTGCCCTGGTCAGTGAGACTGTACGCACAATCGGAATCTGTTTGACGAGCGGATTGCTCGTCTCTGAAATCAATTTATTTGACTAAAGCTGTATTACTATAGGCACAACCTATCAAGAACACAGCTAATCGCTCTGGACCGTTTCTTCTGATCGCTTAAATTGACATTTGAGAGCAGTCTCTGTACAAAATCCCCATCCATGAGCTCATTTGCAAATCCATTCTTGTCCGGTGCGTCTTCAAGATGTGGTGAATCATGGGTGAACAACCTTTCATGGTCTAAATCGATATCATTTGGTTTCAATTTTAGATGGTGTATCGTTTGCAGTTGATTTTGATCTGATTGATTTGACTGAGGGCGTTCCGACGATCCCGCAGATACAAAGTCGTGGTCACGAGTGGGTCCTTGTCCACGTGGATCTTTTTGAGGATATGTATTACGCTTTCCATGGACATCTCCTCGACTCCCAGTTTTCCAGCGCATGTTCTCATCCTTTGAGAACCTCTGCTGATGACGTGGGAGTTGCCGGTCCCAACCACCTAAAGTTACATTATTTTATAACACACGAGAATGTGTCTTACGATCTTCAAAACTCCCAACAGTTGGCTCATCTCCACAGATAGAGGTTCTTCTCGATCCAGATCTTGTGCTTCGAGCATCATCGTCCCTCAGTTGTTCATACATTCGCCTCGGACGTTGAGTTGATGATGTGTGGTTGTAGGTGGAAGCGGCTGAAGCTGGTCTATTCATTATCCTTCCCGGTTTCCTATTCATGTGATTTTGTTGACTTGAAGTTGACTGATGGTCTGGTCGATTCCCTGTCTGATCGGCTGGAAACTTCAGATTATCGACTTTTTAAAATTAAGGCCACCAACCTTCACTGATAGGCAAGCACGGAAATTGAAAAAAGTTGAATGACTCAAACGGGACAAACTCTGGAGCGGCATATGGGACGCACACTCGTTGACCTGAAAAATGAACATTCAATAAAAATATCATTAAATTTTACGATTCTAATAAGATGCAAATGATTTATTGTGGCTAACTTCTTGCAAAAATTCAATACAACCGGATGGGAAAGACACAAATTGAACAGTGGAGGTAAGAATGGCATGGAAGAACTCAGTGGCTTAAAACTGTCCAGAACTTAGCGATTTTGAACTGAGAAGCTCATATCACATGACAAATGTTACATGACAGAGATTTACGACAGGAATTTGGAAATTCAGCTCAAAAAACTTTGTGGAACCACATAGGGTAATTGAAAAATGTTTGAAGGATAATGCGCACCGGTAGTTGGGTCGATCATGAACAATGGAATGGGAGTCGGATGAATCACCGGTGATCCTGAAAAAATCAGTTATGATAATGTATGATAAGCAAGATAAGCTAACCTTTCATGAACGCATGTTGCTGCTGCATCATCAGTAGCTGGGCTAGCTGGGTTTGCGGATCTGGAAACGGCGGCATTGCCAGGAAGGGTTGTGCTGAAAATGGAATGTGAGTTCAGTTGACGTGTATCCATCATCCGTACCAATGCACTCGGAAACCGAAGATACTCGTGCACTTGACCTCATGGGGGCACTTGAACCCTCGGGTCCCGATTTTCTTTCGGCATGTGTCTCGAACGAGAAGAAGCCCCAGATAAGCTTCTGTGACGTCGATGGTTGAGTGTAGAATCCGATGATTCTCCGCGACACTGCAACGATTCAATCAGAAAGTAACGTAGAGTTAGAACTCACTGGCACATGGAAGGAAAAGAATGATTGTGGAAGCGACCGATGCCAAATGGAGCTATCATAATCTGTTGGCTGCGGAGCGACGACATCTATCTTTTTCTGACAATAAAACTATTTCATCAGTAAATAAGCTTGTAACACACCGAAAGAACTTTCTGATAAGCTGTGTACATGTGTTTGATGTTGAATTCTTTGGAACGCAGACTTGCGCAGTGAAGAGGAACTTCTTCGGATAAAAGTTCACTCGGCTCATACACTGATGGTGTCATTTTGAGCATTGTTCGGCTTTCCTCTATGACAACATGAACACATCTATCAGCTAGTTTACTTTGCGCAGCCATGTCAGTGTTCTTCATGTTGAAACACATCGATACAGGAAGCAGATCCTAAACCGTGAATTTGCACATTCCAAAGACTCTAATGTATCTTACCATTAAGCATTTCCTTGCCTGCAGGACATTTTCTACTGTTCCATCAATCTTAACAACCAGCAAGTTTTCCCTAATGTCATCTTTTGTATTGTAGTGTGGATAGGTGATAATCACATTAGTGCGTTGTTCAATTAATGGCTGCAATCTTAAATTACAAGCTATCCTTTGATTCAAGACGAACCATTAGAAAAGTAGTTGCTGCGCTTCCGATAACATGATCTAGGTGGAAAGTGGACAATGTGAAATGGATAGAGAAAATCTGAAATCAAATCTTGTATTCTGCAAATCCCTTCATGCATCCTCACATGTTGTCTTGGAAGTTCTTTTCCGAATGCTTTCTGAATTATCTTGTTCGCAGCACTGACGAGATCTTGTTCGTTTTTCGCTCGGCTAGTGAAACGGAGATACGGTCTAACTCGTCCTTTCTGAAAACATTTGAACAGAACTCATTACGATGAAATAGTTCTACCTTCTCTACAGCATAATTAATGAGGGACATCTCCACATTTTGAATGGGATTTTGTCCGACAAAATCCTGGAGCTCGGGCGGTGAAATTTTCATTTCATTGAGTGACATGATCACGGAGAGATGACAGTTCTCCTGAAACCAGTCAACATTGATTCAAGAGTTTCACATTAGGTTCATACTCTCATCAACTTTCGGGCTCTGTCGACGTCACTATAATGGCCAGTGATTGTTACTTGCTGAGTGAACGGATCAGGAGCAGCTCCTCCGACTGTGTGGTCAGGAAGTTGGATGAGAGTGTTAGTTTTTTGCATAATTGAGGCAACATTCTCGTGATCTCCATAATCGCTGGAAAGTTATATTCCGAATTCCTCACAATCTAGGGTAACTCACTTGGTCATTAATGAATAGTACTGGGACTCGAATTCCAGACTGAGGGTTACTCTAGTTGGGTTAATCTCGATCTAGGAAAGAATTTGAAATTCAAGCATAAATACTGAACTAACCATTGGGATTTTGGATGGTAGAGGAATCCCCTTTGCTCTCATTTGATGAATATACGCTTCGCGTTTCGTATTAAACGACATTTGACGCCTTTGGTTGGCATCTTCTGCCATCTGAATTATGCAATTAGCAAACTTCAGTGTTACTTTCTTTACCTTCGCGGACTGCTGACACTCTTGATAGAAGTTCTCGGGGTTCACGATGATATCTTTGAGAATCGGTGAAACAAACATTCTTCTAGTGGAGGCAATCTCTTCAGCCATTTGGAGCCGCGTTGCAGCGTCGTATTCAACCTCAGAGCGGACAAAGGGGTGATAAGAGGATGCCTCGTCAGGCTCACTCTCTTTGCTTTGCTCACCCATCTGAAAAGAAAAATGCAGAATATTTGAAAAAAAGGTTTTAGAACGAAACGATATAATGTTGAAGCGATATGAAAATCAGTGAGATTGAACTGTTACGATATAGGACTCTTTTTCGATACTTTTAGGCTCGATTGTAGCGAAAAGGTCTTCAATTTCACAAAAAGAACAATTCTGTTAACTAATTTTTCGGAATATCGTTGCGATTCCAATTAATTCAATCTCAAAAGTCAGACGAACCGCGAAATCGGTGACAATTGCTTTGAGAACCCGCGCGAGAATTTTTGAAATTCTGTTTTCGCTTCAAGACCAGATTTCATTCCGCCATGTTCCTTTCTTGAAAACTTTTATGGTTACTGTAGACTACTGTAGTTGTTTATAACTTTTCCTTGATTGTGTCTGATTGGTTGTGACTCAGCTCAGCTTGTGAGAATCTCTGACAAATTGAACGTCTACTTTTTTTCTTTTTTCAATTTCAAGTTTTTCCAATACATTATTGTTTTGTATTCTTTTTTAGAAGCTTTCAGGTTCATTCTGAGGGAATTTCGGTCGTAGTATACTGTGCGCAAATCCGCAAACACGCCTGCGTCAGCTGATGCGTCAAAACATACGCGCGTCGTTCCGATCAGGTGTCGATTTAAACCTAGTTTTTTCTCTCGCTGTAGTTAGATTTTTGAACGTTTGCAATGGACGAAGACGCGTCTCGATCATCTCTGACCGACGAAGAAGACTACGTTGATGACAATGACAATGATAATGGGGAAGACTATGAAGGTTTGACTGCTTTTGTTTCATTCGTTATTTGTTCGTTTTAGCCACTATCGAAGAGGAGGAGCTATTGGACGACGATGGCGACTATGCAGATGAATTGAAAGGTTTTTTGAATTTTTTGATTTTTTTCGAGTTTGTATTTTCTTCAGACCTGGAAGACGAAGGCGAAATGACGATCGAGGAACTTCAGCGCAAGTACGGCTACAACCCACCTGGAAACGCTGAAGAGGCTATTGACGACGGAAACGTAAGAAACGAGCAATTAAAACCTATTAAGCACGAAAAAATTTCAGAGCGCTGGAGATTCTAGCTCGGCAGCCCACGAACACTCTATTCTCGATCTTGGAAACTCGCAGAGTGGTTACGAAGATGATGATGATGATTATGCCCCTCCGGATCCATGGAAGAGAACTATTCGCGTAGACCCTGTTCTTTTTCAAGCTGATGTCCCCGACATCGGAAAGTCTCAAGCCACCGACGCTCGTGAAGATGATGTCGTCCTATGGGTTAGCGATAATACCAATCCACCGAGCGATGAAGTTCTGAACAGCTATCTGAAAGATATTGTCGAACTGCGCAAGACTCATGATCAATCTGTTCCTCCGGCCGGTTGTGAGTCTCGTGATGATGAAGATGCGTTATGTGCCCTGTATCGGAACAACTTCGACACTGAGAAAGCCAAAGAATCTTTTCCATTCCCACACATCAATGCTCCATTCCGGACAGTGCGACCTGATGCTCTCGGCTTTTCTGAAGAAGAAAGCAAGATATTCGAAGAATCGCTGCAGATGTATGGGAAAGACTTTGCGCTTATTGGTAAAATGCGGGTATGTTTCCACTTCGTTTTTCTTAGCAAGTACATTTAATTTTCAGATGCCATACCGCAAAGTCGGCGAGCTGATAGAATATTACTATCAATGGAAATTGACTCCAAGGTATTTAATTTCATAAATTCACCATTTCTGATTCACAATACTTTTCAGTTATCGCGTCTGGAGAGAAGCTCATCCACAGCACGTCCCTGTTGTTCAACCACATCTTTCAGCTGCATGGCATCAGCAAGCAGCTGAAAATGGTCCAAACACTTTTGCCCCCTTCTCCGAGCCATCCACTTCGGAAGGACCTTCTACTCTATCAAACTAAAGCCTGTACTAAAACCTAGGGACCATGTACATGTTCTTTTTACTTTATGAGCATTTATTATTTTGGATCTCCACTTATCTGATAATCTCACATAGACTCATGCAAAATATACACATTCATCACATATTTTTCAATTCCCAACTCAAACGAATTCAGAAGCAAGACTGAAATGATATTTATTTAGCTGAATTATTTTGAGTGAACACCATAAGAAAACGTTTATCAACATTGATGACGACCCGTGCACTGTCGGACTTCAGTCTCCGCCTCGTCACACTCGATTTCTTCCCAATCGTCATTTCTAGCTCGTATCACTCGTCGTCTTCTCGTTTGAGATCCTTCTCCACACGAAACTGAACAGGGAGACCAACGCGACCAAGGACCCACTTGGCACGTTAGCTTTACCGCTGAAAAAAAAGAAGAAAAATCGATTGAGCGATTAGGGATACATACGACAAGGCCTCAATCTGCACTGCAACTCTTGCATCAGATGCTCGGAACATTGGCTTCCTCCGTTTCTCGCCAATTTCACAACATGCCTGCTTCTTGTTTTCTTTCCACGACCGCAGCTCACCGAGCAGGATCCCCAAGCTGACCATTTCGATACTTCACAATCTGCTCTCTCGCCACCATCGTCGATATCAGCATTGCCGAAATCTTCAAGCAGTTGGTTATTTGGAATCAGAGATTTCGTTTTCTCGTATCCTGGTAGACAAATTTGTTTGCATTCTTCCTCTGTCTCAAACTGATTTCTGTTTCCCTTGCATCCAGTGAAAATGAATCGTTCACATTGTGACTTTTCATGATTGTACCAGTATCGAGGGAAGCTTCCTCCACATTGTCCAGCTTGTTTCTCTTCTTGGCAGATCTCTGAAAGTTGTTTAATTGAGTTCAAAGTCAAGATATATAGTGGCCTTCTATTATAGTGTTTACGGTATCTCAGTTTCGATGAAAGATAATAAAAATCTGTCAACTAATAGATTGTTAATAATAATATAACCAAGATTTTATCAGTTGACACATTTTTGATATCTTTTACAGGAATCGAGATAATTGAGCTCAAAGTTAAGGGATTCTTTTATTGCAGGTTTTACGTCAGAGCGCTAACTGTCTCGAGATCATTTCCTAGGGAAAAAAGAAAAATACAGGGTCCAAAAAAATCTTAAAATTGAGAAATTGAGGATTTCAACAATTGGAGTATTCCAAAAAATCGATAAATTCCAAAATTCGAACTCTTAAATTACAAATAATTTGAAATTTTGAATTTCTCAACATTCCGAAAAACAATCAAAACATTAGAATTTCCAAAAATTCGGAAATTCAGATATTCAGATTTTCTTTATCAGAAATTCAAGAAATCGGAAGTTACATAAATTCCTAAATATCGTAAAACCTTTAATAGAAGGGACCCCTAACTAATAACTTTGAGCTCAATTATCAAAAATTCCAACAAAAAAAAACCGAAAACTTTGAAAAACAGAAGATCAAAAAGCTGAAAATCTTTTTTTTTTGGTTTTATGAAAATCCTGCCAAAGAATGCGCCCCGGTGCGCCGCAAACCGTTAACTTTGAGCCCGTATATCTCAGTTCCACTAAAGATAACATAAATGTGTAAAGTGATAAATTGTTTATCATGATATTCCGAATATTTTATCAGTTGACACATTTTGGATACCTTCGACAGGAGTCGAGATAATTGAGCTCAAAGATTGTTTACTGTAAATCTGCTTACCTTCCGAATTGATTTCAATGAATCGTCGACAAGACTGCATCACACAAGTATCCTTTTCTTGTAAATTCACATGCATGCACCGTTTTTCGTGTTCCGCATAGAAAAACAATCTAGTTCTAACACGAACTCCCTCATCACACGACGCGGAACATGGAGACCAATCCGACCAAGTAGTCGTTTTGCACAACGGATCCGGAGTCACATTACAGTCATCTCCATTCTCTCCAACACAAATATCTTTGCGTTCCAGTTCTACACTACAATCTCCAGGTTTTGTAGCTGGATTCAAGAATGTTCGATTACGACTTCTCATTCCATGCCCACACTGGACACTGCATTCACCCCAAGCTCCCCATGAACTGACTTGGCACTTCGAGCTGAATGCTTCGGAATCTGAAAATAAAATATTTTTAAAAGTCTACAGTAATCCTCGAATCTTACTTTCACATTCATTGATCTTGGCATTGCAGAATTGCTTCTCGGAAGTTTGTCTATGGCAATGGAAAACTTGAGCTTTGATTGGAAAAACATAAACACGACTCCGAATTCTGATTCCTTTTCCACAAGTTGCTGAACACAAACTCCATGGTTCCCATTGTGTCATCATGCATTCTCCTGAATCAAAGGTAAAGTATTCCTTTTTTTTTAATTCTCACTTCTATCTTTGTACTCCTCATCTTCACTGGTATTCGTGATATTATGAGCTTCTGCTTTATAAACGTCATCTGATTTACATTCAGAAGAGGTTAAATTCTTTCTCCTCAGAATCACTTTTGCCAACGTTGGAATCTTATCCGAGTTTGTGTTGTAAAAGGGGCTCAATGGGTTGAGTTTTGTGGTGATCCAATGGATTGGCTCACGTGGCTCTGTCGGCTCGTTAGGGCTCATATAAGTTGGTCCAGAGTCCGTTCCAGCATCGAAAGGTTGCAGTTCGAATGTTCGTTCTTCTACCCAAGTGCAATCAGGAAGACATAAATTAACGGAAGAAAGACCGACACACCAATCGGGCGATGGACCAAACATAGTGGCAAGGGAAACAAAGTGGTGGTATCTGTAATGAATTAATTGTAGAGAAAACAATTTTTCATATTCATTCTCACTTATTCACCACAAACTGCGACTTGGTTGTTCCTTGAACATCAGGAAACCAGAGACCCTTGACCTTCATGAGACTTCTGACTTCAGAGGCTTTAGCTTTCGCTTCTGCTTCAGCCTTGTAAGTGTTTCCCCATTCAGCGATTTCTTTCATTCCGTCAGTTGAAATTCCCCCAATTTCCCATAAAGAATAGTTGGAAGAATGTGAAGAACCAAGCATATCAGTGAAATGAGTCAGATGTTCTACTGGATAAAATTCATTAAAAGTAGAAGGACTCCCTTTCTTTAATTTTGGCCCAATCTCAATTATCTCGGTTCCTGTCAAAGATAGAAAAAAGTTGTCAACTGATGTTCACTATAATATGAGAAGTATTTTAACAGTTGGCACATCTTTGATATGTTTATTAGGAATTGAGATAATTGAGCTCAAAATTCACTTCTATTACAGGTTTTACTGTAAGTTTAATGCGTTACATGTTGGATAGTCCTTTGGATGTGTAGTTTTACTCCAAATCCCTGTGAATTCCAAATCGTATTGAGCAATATCACACGCACAACATGTAGCCGACGGGTCATCAACTGGTTTCAAAACCTGTGTTCCTTCTAAAAACTGGATAAACTTATAAGCCGATTCGAATGAATTAACCCACGTTGAACACAAAATCTCATAGTGAGACCTTCTGATTCTGTGAACCAAACATATTTCGTTTCGATAACCGATGCACGGAACATAACACATCCAGATGAAACCTTTAAAGAAAATATTAAATGATGAAAGGAAAGATTGGAGTGTTGACCTACTTCCGGAGCCCTCCACATCATGTGAACGGAAGTTTTTGATTTGAGATTAGCGTGTGATACTCCAGCACGTCGACATCCTGGAGAGATTCTGGCATCTCCATGTCCTTTGACAACCTGGAATAAATACCGTAAAAGAAGATCACCGAGACCGCCAACTTTGAGCACATTTAAATCGGTTCCTGTGAAAGATATAAAAAAGTGATCAACTGATGAAATGTTTATCATAATATTAAAATCATTTTGTCGGTTGACCACTTTTTAATACCTTCTACAGAAACGGAGATATATGAGCTTTAAGAAGACGGTTCGGGTGGCCTTCTATTAGAGTGTTTACGGTAGTTTATTTCAAGGCAAACATTAACTTCAAAAAATCTTTACCTCCCAAGAGCCAGCAGATGTATTATCTTCGAAAAGTGATGAGATAACAAAACCACGGAACGTTTTGACTGTATATTGGGTTCTCCAGCCACGGATAGAAACTATAAATAATAATAATAGTCTGTCTAGGTAAAAGTGGATGAAAATATTACCTTTGTATACTTCTCCCGGAACGAATCCTTTGGTGATATCCATTGATTTTGCAGAAGTTCCATTGATCTAGATTCTTATTTATTTCCATGTATATTCTATCTGTACAGTGTGGCACATAATTAACCGGATAATTTTTGCTAGTATATAACTTGAGTGAAGCGTATCGAGGCTCAAATTTGGAGAGCAAAAATTCGGAAAGTTTGATGAACGGTAAACAGGCCAAGTTTCAAATTATTTGATCAACTTTGATCTCAGTCATTGCTTGTCAAAGGTGCTTCATCTCAGGAAAATCCCAAGAAACATTACGCCGTTCATCCTTGGACAATCATAAAAATACCTAGACTTGTGGAATCGTTTTGACAATTTCATTAGCTTTGAATCAAATGTAAAATTAAATCTCTACCAATTTTCGTGCTTCAATGAAGCTTATGTCTAAAGATAGACTCGTTTTTATCAGTCCTGGTAATTGTGCGGAATCCTGTATACTCACTTCAACCAAATATCCATTACTTCCTGGACTTTCTTCTCCTTTTGCCTCGTAAGGTCGGATTGTACATTTTCCTTCATCGCCATAGACACTTGTTTCCAATAAAAAAAGTAGTAGTGCCAATTGCAAAATTGCGACGAATCGCAACATTGTCACTTGGCTTTGGACACAGAATGTAAGTAGAGCAATGGATAAAAGACGGAGGATCTGCTCAAGAAGTCGGAGGAAGACACAGCTGTCTTCGCCGCATTATTTATGACCGATTGAGACGACGGGCCGGACTGACCTTTCGATGAAGTTCTGAAGGTGGTGTAAACGAGTGGTCCAATGTGTACGAATGAGTCGAAAAAATAATTGAAAATCAAAGGGATACACATGCTTGAAACGATTGATTTGCAGGATCAACTACCGTAAACACTGTAATAGAATGTCGCCAAACCCTTCACTTTGAGCTCAATTATCTCGGTTCCTGTTAAAGATATCAAAAAGTTGTCAACTGACAAAATGTTCATCATAACAGCAAAAACATTTTGTCAGTTAACCACTTTTTGATAGCTTTTACAGGAGCCAAGGTGATTGCCTCAAAGTTAAAGAATCATTTTATTGCAGATAGCGTTGAGTCACCATAGGCGTTGAGTTTTGAGATCATATTCTTCCGGGGAAAAAATATGAACAAAAAGGGTTCAAAAAATTTAAAGATTGATAAATTGAAATTCTCGAAATTCAGAATTTTGAAAGTTAAAATATTCGAAGACTTCAATGAATTCCAAATGCCAAATTCAAAAGTACAATTACTCTAGAATTTTGAAATTCTCAACATTTGAAATGCTTAAAATTCGTTCGAAAAGGAAATTCAACATTTTGAAAAAAAAGTCGACATTTTTTTCGAAAATTTCAGAAACTTGAAGATTCAGAAATGAAGATATTCGTTGACAGAAAATCGGAAGTTCCATAAAATCTATGAAAATCCTAAATTCAGAAAATTTGGAAAATTTGAAAAAAACCGAAAACTTCAAAATACGGGAATATAAAAAGCCGAAGACTATTTTTTGAACGATTTTTTAAATCATGCTGAATCATTTTCGAGAGAATAATATTATTTAGAATGCGTCCAAGCCGTTTACTTTGAGCCCGTATATCTCGATTTCTGGGAAAGATATCAACACTTTGCCAACTGATAAATTTTTTATCATAATATCACCAATGTTTTATCAGTTATACACAGGTAAAATGCGAACGGATCCTTTACGGACGCTCAGCGTTCGCGCGCGGTTGAAATAGGAACCGCACGCGACCCGTTTTCAGAAAACCACAGCACATTATTCCGTATTCCTCCGTGATCTGTCCGTTCGCGAACTCCGTATCCGATCCGCTTGCGAATGATGGACAAACGGATCGGATACGGAGTTCGCAAACGGATAGAATACGGAGAAATACGAAATAATGTGCGTGGTTTTCTGAAAACGGGTCGCGTGCGGTCCGTATGCGGTTCCTATTTCACCGCGCGCGAACGCTGAGCGTCCGTAACTGTTTGTTCGCGAATCACCGGTGTAGATTTTGGATATCTTTTAGAGAAATCGAAATAATTGAGCACGAAGTTGAAAGTCTGTGCGAAGCCCTCAATTTTGCTTTGAGCATGATTATCTCAATTCCTGTAAAAGGTATCACAATTCTGTCAATTGAGAAATTATTTATCATAATATCACCAATATTTTATCAGTTGACAAATTTTTGTTATTTCTCACTGAACATGAGATATCTGGCCTCAAAGTTCATTGTTTTGGTGGACTTCTTATACTGGAAATTATAGTGGTAACTTCTTATAGTGGTAACTGCATCAGATATTAGTTTTTTGGATTTCAGGATTTTCGGTTTTTTGAAGTTTAATTCCTACATTTGAACTTGAATATAATCAGATAATGTAAAACCTTCCTACAAAGTATCTGATCTTTGAGTGTTTCATATACCCTCTGATACCTCTCTTTCTGAATCATAAAGTAATATTCATTTATTACAATCAAAAATTTCACTTGATCGTTGAAATCCAAAAGTGTTAGAGCGTGGTTTGATGTCGTCGTCGACAATGAAGCAGTTAAGATGAGTCCAAACAAAAGAATTTTCGAGGTACTTGAGTCGTTTTGAAGGCAATGCATACCGTAACAGACACTTGTCATCTAGCCTATTTAAACGTTCGGAAGTCGACAGCGGTCTTTGAAAAAACGGCTTAAGTTTCTGCTAAACATGCTAATATTCATCATCTTATATTATTCATGGTTCCTATTAGCTGTTTCCTGTCTCAAGTATCCAAATGAAATAGTTGACACTCCAATTGTAATATGTGAGAATGACAAAATCATAATCAAGGTGAGCATAGCTTCTAGAATGTTTCCATAGATAACCAGACCTTTTGTAGATAAAAACGTCCATTTCCAATCCTTCACATATTTACGTCGATGGAAGAGAAAACGATTTGGAATGCGTTTCCAGGAATCAGAACAAAATCGAGGTGGCGCATGATAAATGTGGAATGGTTAATGAAAAATCGGTGAGACTTTTCATTAGTTGGGATATGATTAATCGATGTTATCGTTTTGGTTTTTTTCATAGGAAAGAGGCGTTGCCAAAAAATGCTAAATGACAGCTGAAAAAGGAGCGACGGGCCGTTGACGGATCCTCGACGGACTGTCGGCGGACCATCGGAGCCCCAACTTCAAAGCTTTGATTGAAAATCAGCCAGAAAACAATATTTTAAGCTCCCACTAGATTACTAAAATGATGATAAAAGTCAATGTTTTCTCAAATCGGACCATCTAAAAAACATATCGTAAAACCGAAGGGCTCCCTGACTTCTAACTTTGAGCTCAAGTATATCGGTTTTTGTTAAAGATATCAAAAAGTAGTCAACTGATAAAATATTGTTCATAAAATCATTAATATTTTATCAGTTAGCTTATTTTTGATAGCTTTTATAGGAACCGAGATAATTAAGCTCAAAAGAATGGTAGGTTGTTGACTGGTTGATGTAATTCTACGAGTTTTTTCTTTTCAAAAACCACTCCAAACTTTACAGGATCAACCAAATGGTTCCATTCGTCGTCTTTGCATTTTCGTACAACTCCATCCTCTATTTGTCACTGAATCCGATCGTAGTTATTGTGCTCAATGTGTCTATATGAATTCTCATGTCATGAAAGATATCGAATCCACACTGGATATCAGTGAAGCACCTCCCCTCCAATTATCCCCCCAATTCGATGCTCCCGCCATGCCGAAATGTAACTACTCAATTAGAAAACAAAGCAAAGATGGACCACCAGTCCAATACGCCTCCATCGGAGACAGCGTATTCCATGTATGGAGTTGTGATGGAGATCATAACGGGATTCTTGTTCAAAACTGCCATGTTGAGGATGGCCAAGGGAATAAGATATTGATCATTGATCAGAATGGATGTGGAATTGATCACTATGTCATGGATACTCCAATTTACAATGGAGAACAATCTGTGGCATTTCAGGAGACACATGTTTTCAAATTCGCTCAACGAACTATCACTCGTTTCATATGCCAAATTAAGATTTGTATGAAGGGAGATGATTGTAGACAATTATCGGTAGTTTTGGTTTTTTGAAAACTTGTCTATTTATAAATTTCAGCCTCCAGAAGCTTGTCCAAGCCTTGAAGAGAGATTTGACGATGCAGCAGTAGAAAAGGGCAAAATGTTTGCGTAAGAAACATGTGATATTTTTAGTTGAATGCATTCAATTTTAGAGATGAGATCCGTCCACCTGCAGTAATGCCTTCCGATTTGACTGGTCCAGATCAAGATACCTCGGTTGAATTCGTTAGAAGAGCACCCATGAAAGGAAGTATTTATTATGGTGTTGGGTGAGGAATTGTATGTGATTCGCAAAAAGTAAACGGTATATTCAGATACAACCCGAAACGTCACCGTCGTGAGATTCTGATCAACACAGCGCCTCGACCACAGAAACAATTCATAATGAAGAATGGATATCCAGAGATGGAAATGGTTGGAGAGTTGAGAGTATTCGAGAATCCTCAGGATGTTGAATACTTTGGTAAGGAAATCAATTTTCGGAGGGTTTCGAACTGTTGTGATACGCTGTTGCGCTTTATTGAAAAAGTGATGTTGCGAAAATTTAGGTTGTTGAAAATTAAAAATTCTCGCAATTTTTAGTTGATTTTTCATCTCAAAGTCAATTTTTCACGAGTCTACGCCATCTTCTTATTAAAGCGCAACAGCATATCATAGCAGTTCGAATACTGGGATCAAGGATGTTCAGAATGACCTTTTCGGAATTTTTCGATTCGGAACATTCCGATTTTGAAATTTTAATAATTTGGAATTCTCGGAGTATTCCGGTTTTTAAAACTTCGGATTTTCGGAACCTCGGAAGTTTTCCGAGTTTTAAAAATTCGGAATTTCGGAAATTTCCGATTTTTAGAAATTCGGTATTTTCAAAAATTTCCGATTTTTTTAAAAGTTCAGAGTTTCGGAATATTTCAATTGTGAAAATTTTGGATTTTCGGAACTTTACGATTTTCGGAATTTTACGATTTTTAAAATATTGGCATTTTCAGAATATTTAAAAACTCGAATATTTAAGTAGAAGTTCCATTCTTCCAGCAAAAAAACACTGGAAATAGGTGAAAAATTGACAAAAAAATTCTGAAAAGGCAGAATATTGGAAGTAATTCTGCCCTTGACCAATTTTTTTCGCGATTTAACGTAGTCCAAATCTAATTCCGAAAAATTCCGACAGAAATTTCATTCCGAAAATGATCGAAATTCCGTTCCGAACATCCCAGGCATTACTGTCGTTTCCCTTCAGAATCCCAAAGATCTCAATCTTCTGGACCATCGTCAATTTGCGAATCTCCATCTTCCTCTCTATTTTTCACTCTTCTCGTCACAGCGCTCGTCGTCCTCTCCATTCTTCTCATCTCACTCTTCTTGTTGATTTCTTCTCGAATTCGATCAAGCAAAAACAATTCCATTCATTTCGCACAATGATTCTCTCCCTAGTCTATTTCAGTTTTTCCATATTTATTTCGCAATATAATTTTTATTTCTTTATTATTCAGGTTTCAATGAACATATGAAATTGTTACAACAAGGCCATGACCCGCATTTCAAAACGTTTTGCAAAACAAAAAGAAAAAAAAGTACAACTAAAAAAACTGTAATGATCCTATTAAATAAAATATCTCAAATTAAGCCTGCTGATTTCTACGTTCTTGCTGTTTCGTCTTCTGCTCAAACTGAATTCGTAGCGCTTCTTCTTTCACATCCACGTATTCCAACTGGGCTCTCAGAAGTGCAGTGTCCATGCCCTTCTCCTGAGCTTGTTTGATTTGCTCTCTTAACATTTTACGTTCTAAATTCGATGTAAGAATGTGGGGTGGGGCATTCCAGATTTCATCCAAGTCAGATGATTCGCGCAAAAATCCGAAATATATGACGACAGCGAGAATACTTCCTAATGCGGAGAGAACTTTCTTGTTTCCATAAGCATCAGAAGAATAATAATCGGGTTTGAATTGTGGCATTCCTCGAGAACCACGACCCTGAAAATTCCTAAATAGCTTCATGACACTATCGATTAATTGTTACTTGGAAGGCGGCGCTCTGTGTGAACTTGGGTTCTGGAACATTCTTCTTTGCAGCCATCCCCCTTGCTTGAATTAAAAATGGTGAACGCAAGCACGGTATCACTCGCCACATCTGTTAAAAGCAACTATTTGGGGTATTTCTTGCTTCGAAGCCCGCATGCGCCCGCAGTAAAAGAGGAATTTACCTTTACTAAGAAATTTTCGAAATTCGAAATAACAACAGTTTACTGAAGAAAAGAAAAACAAAAACAAGGAGTAACAGACAACATGAGAATGAAATTGATTAGATGAAGAGGTAACAATGACAATTAGGCTTCGAGTTCTTTGAATCCATCTTTCTTATTCCACATGGCTTTGAAGATGAGACGGAATTGAGCCATTTTGATCTCAAAATGTTTCAAAATTTTGGCTTGCTCAACGGTCAGTGGCTGTCCTTCCTTGCAAACTTCGAATTCTTGATAGAGTGTGATAATTCCCTTGTCTAGTTTTGTAGGTAGACCAAGTTTTCGCAGCTGTGGCTCCATTGAGAAGGCGAACTGAGCGATTGGTCCTTCCGGTAAGACGACTGTCTCAGTGGCAAGATCACCAACGCGAGCATAATCTTCTTCGGAAATCTTGGCGAACTCACTGAAAGATATATACATTTAACATGTGAAATATACAGAAAGCTTACGTCTCCACCTCCTTCTTCGACATGTTTGTGAACATGAGACCACATTGTCCCTTCAGGATAGCACTGGCTTTATGAAGCTGATTGGCATACTCATCAGATTTTTGTTTGCCAAGAGCGATTGCGATGACGTTGTTCTTTCCAAAGAAAAATCTGGAGCTTTCCTTGTACTTTTGTCTGATCTGAAAAAATCGGAAGTAATGCTATAAACTGATTTTTAAAGAACCAACCGCAATGAATCTGGTGCTTCTCATATTGGCGATGGTGAAAATGAATAAATTTTTGTATTGATCAACACTGGCGCGGACTTCATTTACGAGACTGTTCTTGGTATCCTTGGTCTTCTTCTTGACTTTGGTGAGCGATACTGAAAATTAGCCTATTGTTAATTACTTTGACTAAAAAAACCAACCGTTCTTATCTCTGCGCGAGCGGGCCATGTTGTGGAGATATGCTGAAAAAACTAAATTGGTTTTCTAGTAATTTTTCATGGCAACAATGCGAGAGAAAGCAGGAAAAACGGGCAAGAAAGTAAAAAAAAAAATGCAAAAAGAGAAATTACTGAAAGTGCGAAATTTCTTCCGCAGCTGTGCGTAACAGTGTTTGCGGACAGTTGCGCACCGTATTTGCACACCTAGAGACGACTCCCAGAAGACGTTGGCATAGAAGAATCTCAATATAACGATAGAAACGGTTCGAAGATATAAAAATATAATAGGTTATAGCAACTGGAACAAAGCATATAATAAATAGTAAACATTTTTCTATAAAATCCTTTATTTCAGTTCTTGGAACAGGTGTCCACAGCAAATTTTAGTTACAGTAATCCATGAAGAACTTGGAAGAAGACGTCGGAGGAATGGTTCCAGTGTTAGGCTTCAGAAGAATTTGACAAATGAGTGTATGTTACCTTGCTCAGTTACTAATTTTACTACCTCTTCTCCATCATGTTAGTGAGTTTGAGCGTCAAAACCTCGGAAACATAAAAATCAATTTTTTCTGTTGGTCCCCTCATCATTTCCATTCTACTCATCTCATTCTCAATTAGCCTAATATCGCAGAGAGGAGCTTCTTCATTTTACTTTTTTCCCTCTTCTTTCTGGCCCGTTTCCCCCCTCGCTTCTCTCTAAATATTCACGTCGTCACGCATACATGCTCTTCGAGCAAGAGCCATGAGCTCTCTCTCTCTCTCTCTCTCTCTCTCTCTCTCTCTCTCTCTCTCTCTCTCTCTCTCTCTCTCTCTCTCTCTCTCTCTCTCTCTGAATCAATAACGCTGTTTTATGTCGTTTTTGTGCATTCCACTTCTTCTTCTTCTTCTTTCTTCATTTTTTTATTTTCTAAATTGAAACCGAATTTCAGAGGAAATGCCAAAGTGAGAGAGTGAAGTGTTGAAGAGATGCAGACACACTTTCCCGTTTTTTTGTTGTTAGCTTTTCTCGTTTTGGTCCCCGTTTTTGCTCTTCTATTTTCTTTGAGACACATAATTGTTTTGGGAAAGAAAATTCGAAAGAAGAAAACGAAATTGAAGGTTTCATACGGTTATTTTCCTGTCAATCTTATAAATCTTTCATCTTGACGAGCCACGAAGAGCATCGCTGTCATAAAAAGATCGGCTCATTCAACATTTTGAATATTGCCTTAGTTTGTCTCGAAAATCAGATATTAAAAGTAGTTTTCTATTATTCTAGGAAAAAATTCTGGTGGTTAATGGTATTTCCTCTAACAGAAACCCATCCAAACCATGAACTTTGAGCTCAATTATCTCGGTTCCTTCAAAAGTTATCAAAAAGTAATAAACTGAAAAAAAATTATGGTGATATTATGATGAATAATTTATTGGTTGAAAATGTTGGATATCTCTCAAAGGAAACGAGATAATTGAGCCCAAAGTTAACAGTTTGTTCGGTAATCTATTAGAGGAAATACGGTATTCACAACTAATTCAGATTTCGTTGTTTAAGTTTTCTGTTTTTTCTAAACTCTAATTTAAACTTTTCGTAATGGTATTGATTGATACATTTTTATCGAAATTCACACTTCTGATATTTACCAAATTTTTTGAAAATTTCGAGTGTCGATTCTTGGGTTGACTCCTACAGATAACAAAGAAAATACTAGAGAAGAAAATTTAAGAGAAAATCAGAAAAGATAAACCATACGGTAGTTAGTGACTATAGGCTTGAAAACGGACCAAAACGAATGGCGGGCCCTGTCGTAGTTTTCTTTCAGAATTTCAATTTTCAACCAACCAAATCAGATATTATAGAACTTGACGAGTACTACAAAATTATACTAGGAGTACTGTACCTTTTATATGGACAAAGTTACAGGCGGAACGGGCCAATGAAACGGGCAAGGCAGCTTTACGGGTTATAACTTTGTTCATAGACAAGGTACAACTTTTCAAATAGTATGTTTTTGTAGTAATTGGCAAGTTCTATCATATCCAATTTAGTTTGTCAAAAAATATTGATCCTAAAACAAACTATGGCAAGGCCCGCCAGGGATCCGTTTTTTGGCCGTTTTCAAGTTTTGAACCAATTTCTTCATTGGTTTCTAGATTTTTGATTTCAGTAGAGTTTTCAAAAATAAAAGGAAGAACAAATAAGAAAATTTGGAAGAGTTGAAATGTAACCCTCGATTGATGTACCTTCATGAAATCAGTTACCCTATTTCTTTTAATAGAAACCCACCCAGCTTTGAACTCGATTATCTCGATTCCTGTAAAAGATATCAAAAATCAGTCAATTAATAAAATATTAATATTAATTATATTTCGATAAATATTTTACCAATTGACAAGTTTTTTATATATGCTACAGAAATCAAGATCAGGATAATTTTAATTGAAAAATCTGAAACTTTGAAAACCTGAAAAAAATCAGTCGCCGATAAGCCACCATTAAACCGCCGACGGCTTAAAAGCTACTCTATCGAATTTTTCAATTTTTCGAAAAAAAAACACAACAATTTTTGTGTTTTCCATCTACAAAAAGTCTCATTTGTGCAATCCTGTCGTAAAAATTGATCCCTTTTTGAAAAATATAATTTATCAATTATAAATTTTCTGATATCACTCGAAGGAACCGATATAATTATGATTGAAAGTCCTGAAATTTTGAAAATCTGCGAAAAAAATCAGTCGCCGGCGAGCCGCCGACAAGCTATTGACGGCTTAAAAGCTACTCTGTTGTATTTTTCAATGTTTGAAAAAGAAAAACCTTCAATTTTTGTGTTTTCCATCTACAAAGAATCCCAATTTCGAAATGCGGTCGTAAAAATTGGTCCCTTTTTGAAAAATATCTAGGGAAAAAGTTTTTTGGAAAGATAAAATATCGCTTTGAGCCTTTCTACCGTACTCAAAAATGTTTATTAATTAATATGAGAAATGTAGACATTTTTAAAAGGAACAATCAAGGATTCTTTTAAGAATGACATGTCAAGAACGAGTTCATGAATTCGCGGAATGTGTTCAGATTTTCTGTGAGATACGTTTCAATTGAAAAAACAAACACTACGATGTTCAAAATAACAATTAGAATAGGCTTGACCATTTAATTTTGATCTATTTTAATTCAAAATGCGGTTACAGTATAGGTGAGTCGGAGTAGTTGAAATCTGAAGACCCCTTCTCACAAATTCAATTTTTTTTCTGTTCAATGATCATCTTCTAACAGCTCCCTCTAAAACTTTATTCTTGTTTTTTTCAAAATTTAGTTTTCTTTTTTACAGAGCACTACCAACGTCTCCATTGGGTCAAGAACCTCGCTTCGGAATGAGTGAGACGGCTCAATCGTCGTCCTCTTCTGTGACCATCGAACCACCGGATTCAATTTTCTCGCAAGGAGAAACTTTGGATTCATCGCAAGCCCCCTGGTGGCAAAGGTTCGCTATTTTCTTTTGAATTTTTGTGGATGCAGAACTACAAAAAAAAGAACCTTCCATTCGAAAATGAAATTGAATTCCATCCATTCCGGACTTAACACATTCATTATCCCTTTGGGGGAGAAATTGAAAAAAAAAGAAGTAATGAAATCTGAAAAACCCCCTTCTCTCTTTCTTTTTCTTTTAATTCCATTCCTCTTTTTTGCTTTTCCCCCATTCGGCACCCTTCTGCCTCCAGAGCGAGAGAGAGCTACTATATTTTTCTTCGAATGGCTGGTTTTTTTTAAACTGATATTTATTAGAAGTTTTATTGAAAGTTGACCATGCAGCAGATTCCAGCAGATTTTAGTAAACCGTAAGATCTTTCTAGCTTTGGTTTTTGAAAACATGGTGTACGGTGACAGTTTTATTGCATCAAAATGTGTGGAAACCTATGAAGATTCATATAGGAACAAAGAAAAAAAATGAATCCAAAAATCTCAGTTCTCGTCCATTTCTGGAAACTTCTGTAAGATTCTGAAATTCCCGCCAAAACTGAATACTCCGAAAAAATAGCTGTTTTTTTTGCAATTTTTCAAAAGAAACATTTATTTTTTCTTCAATTTTTTGCATAATTTTTAGACCTTTTTAGGTTTTTTCAGCAATTTTCAAAGATTCTTTTTCGGGCTTTCCGGTTTTTTTTTTGCCTGAAACATAGT